TTATGTTTCTATAATTAAAAATTTCCCAAACCCTACACTCCAACAATAATTTTAATTAAAAAAGTCGGGAGTCCAGCTCTATCCGTTCACACGTAATCAAATTGTACCAAATATAGTACTATTTAGTACACATAGGTACTATGCTTCCATATCTAAATTCTATATTCAAACATCAACCATTAGTCCAAATTATGGGTTTCTAGCTCTCTCCGTTCATCCAAATCCATCTTGTGCCGTTTAGTACTTTTAGTACACATAAATACGAGTTTCCAAAGATGTCTCTCTTCAACAGAAATCTTAATTCCAAATTTCAGGTTTTCAGTTCTATCCTTTCAAGCAAAATCCAAATTGTTCTAAATTTAGTACCATATAGTACCTTTCGTACCAATAACTACGAATTTCATAATCTACCTCAGTCCTACACTCCAACAGTCATTTTAATTCCCAATTTGAAGACTTCAGCTCTATCTGTTCACCTAAATCTAACTTCCACCAAATTTAGTACCATTTAGTACTTTTCGTACAAATAAGTACAATTTTTTACAGCTAATCCCGATTATCAAGATTCCATCTCTACACACTCAACTGAATGTAAATAGTACGAAATGTAGTACCATTTAGACTTTTTATACACATAAGTACGAATGTCATAAACCATTTCTGTACATAAACACCACTTCTCAACCTGTATTCCATTTAAAATGTCAAGATTCCAGCTATATATGTTCATTATATATACAATAGGAACTAAATTCAGTAAAGTTTAGTACCTTTAGTACACTTATAGGTCGAATTTCCAAAAACCCTTTTGCACATCTTTCTAACTTTCCATCAGTGACCAACATTCCAAATTTCAGAATTCCAGCTATTCCCGTTCGCTAATAAAAAGGGTACCATATTTGGTACATGTTAGTACTTTTCGTACCCTTCTACTTCCAACAAAACTTCCTGCATATCCCGATCCTACACTCCCATAATGATTCCAAATTCAAATTTAAATGTACCAAATTTAGTACACAGTAGTACGAATTTCCAATACTTCTTACTAAACCCACACCCCCACAGTTATCCTAAATCCATGTTTCAGAATTCCAGCTCTATCGGTTCATCCACAATTCAATTTGTACCAAATTTAGTACACTGTAGTACGAATTTCCAAAACTTCCTACTTCACCCAAACCTACACTCCATAGTGATCCTAATTCCAAGTTTCAGAATTCCAACGCTATCGGTTCACTCACAATTCAAATTGTACCAAATTTAGTACACAGTAGTACGAATTTCCAAAACCTCCTACTTACCCCAAACCTACAACCCCACAGTGACCCCAAATCCAAGTTTCAGGATTATAACTCTATCTGTTCACTCACAATTCAAATTGTACCAAATTTAGTACACAGTAGTACGAATTTCCAAAACCTCCTACTTACCCCAAACCTACAACCCCACAGTGATCCTAATTCCAAGTATAAGGATTCCAATACTATCGGTTCGCCCACAATTCAAATTGTACCACATTTAGTACACAGTAGTACCAATTTCCAAAACATCCCACCGAACCCAATCCTACAACACCACAGTGATCCTAACTCCAAGTTTCAGGATTCCAGCTCTATCGGTTCACCCACAATTCAAATTGTACCAAATTTAGTACATAGTAGAACCAATTTCCAAAACTTCCTACATACCCCAATCCTACACGCCCACAGTGATCCTAAATCCAAGTTTCAGGATTCCAACTCTATCGGTTCCCCTACAGTTCAAATTGTACGATATTTGGTACACAGTAGTACGAATTTCGAAAACTTCACACTTAACCCAAACAGAGATGCTAAATCCAAGTTTCAGGATTCCAACTCTATCGGTTCACCCACAATTCAAAATGTACCAAATTTAGTACACCTTAGTAAAAATTTTTAAAACTTCCTACATATCTCGATCTTACACCCCAACAGTAATCCTGACTCCAAATTTCATGATTCTAGCTCTATTGGTTCGCATAAAATTCAAATTGTACCAAATTTAGTACCATTTAGTACCCATGAATATAAATTACTGAAACTGAGTAAAAAAATTCCAAAACTACGTACATTCCCAATCATACACTCCGACGGTAATGTTAATTTCCTACATTTTGAAATTCCAGCTCGATTTGTATCTCCAAATTAAATTTGTACCAAATATAGTATCATATAGTACTTTTCGTACACATGAGTACACGCTTTCAAACCCATCTCCTTAAATGGACTCTACATCTCATCCCTAATTCGCATTCCAAATTTCAAGTTTTTAGCTCTATCAATTCACATGCTACGAAATTGTACAAAATTAAGTACATTTTAGTACTTTTCGGATAATTATAGTTCGAATTTCCAAAAACCCGTTGGTACATCTATCCTACACTCAGCGACCACCAATCCAAATTTCAGAGTTCTACCTCTACCGGTTCGCCAAATACAAATGGTATCACATTTAGTACTTTTCGTACCGTTCTAGTACGAATTTCCAAAAACGAATTTCCAAAAAACTTTTATACATCTTCCTAACTTTACATCAGTGACCCACATTCCAAATTTCAGAATTCTAGCTCTTCCCGTTCGCCTAATACAAAGGGTACCATATTTGGTACATTTTAGTACTTTTCGTACCCTTCTAGTTCGAATTTCCAAAAACCCAGCCTTATCTCACGCCTACACACCAACACCAACCCACACTCAAAATTTCAAGCTTCTAGCTTTAGCCGTTTCGTCTGGGCGATGATCTGTCCGTCACTCACTCAATCACTTAACACTAAGCTCTTTTATATATATAGATTCCTTATAGGTCCAGTCAATGTTGTGACTCCAGTTATTAATAACAAAATGAAAGCAGTTTATTTTGTTTGTTGTTGTTTTTTTGGTTTTATTTGGGTCAAAATTAAAAACGAACAATTTTTTTGGTTATTAAGAGTAGAGATATATATATATATATAATAATAAAAGGGTACCATATTTGGTACATTTTAGTACTTTTCGTACCCTTCTAGTTCGAATTTCCAAAAACCCAGCCTTATCTCACGCCTACACACCAACACCAACCCACACTCAAAATTTCAAGCTTCTAGCTTTAGCCGTTTCGTCTGGGCGATGATCTGTCCGTCACTCACTCAATCACTTAACACTAAGCTCTTTTATATATATAGATTCCTTATAGGTCCAGTCAATGTTGTGACTCCAGTTATTAATAACAAAATGAAAGCAGTTTATTTTGTTTGTTGTTGTTTTTTTGGTTTTATTTGGGTCAAAATTAAAAACGAACAATTTTTTTGGTTATTAAGAGTAGAGATATATATATAATAATTGTTGTAGTTTTGCTGTCGCTATTAATATCGTAAAATAGGCTCGACTACAATAAGAATAACTTATATCTAAATAGGTTTTACAAAACAGTTGGTCCACCATATTCCGTGTGGACGCTGTCAACTTTAAATCTATCTTAAAAAAAAAAAAAACAAAAAAGGTACTTTTGTTTAAAATTTTGTTTGCAATGTTTACTGGCATTTGGATTAAGATCCTTAACATCGGCTGTATGAAACTCTCAAACAATAATTAGTATTGACAATGAGTTCTGATGAAGATTTTCAATGCGCACAAATGAAACCTCACTTTGAGGCTGGATGTTATAATTTGGTAAAAATATTTACTACTCGCACTCGCTTATTGTCTCATTAAAAATCTTTTAAAGACTACTCTGTTAATGCCTGTTTGGATTACAAATGTTTCCTACTTTGCCAACAAATTCGATATCGTGAAAAATAAGGGGGTTTTGTTGCGTTCCAGACAGACCAAGTCCAAGTCCAATACAACTAAAATGTTATACTAATATTATAAGTATGTATATGTATGTTTAAGTGTTTGTCGGTTTTGTTTGTTGTCTAGGTTTGTATGTGTTTGTGTATATACTTAAAACTACTACAGATGTATTCTCATTAAATTACAACCACTATAACCTATTCACAGCAGTTTTTGTCATACGAAATACTTTAATTTTTAAAATAGACAATTGATCACATTACATCCTATATGTATATTTTGTATATAATTGTATTTGCCCTGATAGCAGATTTATTCTGAAGATGTCAATTCATGTGGAGCACTTTTTTTGAAATAGTAATGTGCATGGCTGAATGCGATTGACAAACCAATGGAATTATTGATTCATTGCCTCTTATAATGTGAACCTTAAAGAACAAATGTGGGTTACAATTTTCGAATAAAATTATATACAAAATATACGTCTATTTCGAGTATTCAATTGATTTCGTTTATTAAGAGAGGAGCCAAAAAAAAAATATGTAGAATAAATTATGTGATCGAAAAAAATATTGTGGAGGGTTTGCTATAAAAATAAACTAATTTTCGTGTTAAAACATTTGATTAACAAACCATGTATCGGTCGAAAGAATGCGTAGAGTTGAACTCCGTGGAAATGCGTTCTACATTGATTCTGGAACTGTTTTGGTAATTAATACAATAACAAAATAATAAAAATACGGCTACTGTCATTTAGAATTTGTTTGCAATTAGCTTTCATATGGTGCGCATGTCGATCATTAAAAATAACAAAAGTTTGTAACAGAAATGTGTCGTCGTTATCGTTTCATTTTGTAATCTTAGACCTAATACTATTCCTAGACTAGACTAAATAATTCGGTACTTTACAAATACTTTTAATTTCAATTAGTTGCTGTTTTCGTTAGTTCATTTACAAGGACGAGTGCCGAACGGCGACACTTATCCTCAGCTTAGTGGCTAAATCATTATTATTATTATAATTATTTATATATGTATTTGGTTTTCCTATATATGTAGGTATGCATGAATGTCAGTATGATTGAATGTTGGAGTGCTGTGAATGTTTTGCCAAACGATGTGAATGTTGCTACTTGGATTCGAACAAAGTTGTAAATGATTAGGCAGAGTGGCAAAAGAAAATAGACTGTTGCAGAATGGGATTTGGGAAGGCATTTACAAATCGAAAACTTCCATTTTAAAGGGCTTTCTGTTCGTTGGCACGTCGAGATGATTGCCGGTAACTCGCATCATTGTACTGCGCATTGTAACCGGCCTGTCGTCTTCATCGTCAGATGCATCACTGTGTGTTTTAACATGTCCGCCTAAAGCAGGACCACTAAAATCGTCCTCGTCGTCCTATAAAAAATATATATTTCATTGTTAGTATACAGTAATAATCAGGATTTTTTTGTTTGTGATATATACAATATATGTACATATGAAAAATATATGTATTTTGTATTCAAGGACATTCAAAGGACAACTAAAACTAGGTTAATAAATTAATAAATAAAAGAGCAGGCAAACAGAGTTTTATGTAAGCCACGATAGTACATTTTACAACAAAGATATTACATATTTATATTACTTGCACACAAATATAAACAAATATTGTTTTGTCTATATATAAATATATATGTATATATATATATATATATACATATTTTAACAAATGCTGGATTGTGATTAAGCATGGATCTAACAATACTCATCAGAACTCATGAACTATGGACAAGCCATGATGTAAACATTTTCAGGTGCAATTGTCTTCTAACTCTTGCAGATTGAAGCAATAACATCCATAAACCCATTATAAAACTTAAACCCCTTCTCATAAGCTTATAATAATTTAAATTTATAATAATTTAATTAATTTTAAAATTCTCTTTTAAATTTACAACGTCCGAATTGTAGGATGAATCAGTTTTTTAATTATATTTCCAATTCGATTTCGAAAAAATTATTTAAAGTGAAATGTTGAAAGCGTGTCAAATAAATGAAACAACTCTGATCTCAGACAACCCATAAAGTAGAAGTGTATCTGTCTATCGTATTATAACCCTGAAGAAAAGGGGGATGTTCTATCGTTTTGGTCGACTATTGTGGCGACATGTCTCTATATTTTCAACAATTTTTCTTTTTCGTTCGTTCCCACGCCTCTCACACCCGCCCCTGCCGACCGCAATTAGTAATAATACAACAAATATAAATTAGAATTAGATACATTAAACAGACATTACATTAACATACATTAAACAGACAACAGTAAACAAAAGCTACAATATAAAATTTGGCAACTGCTGCTCAAATTTCAGGGTCTACTGTTTCCAAGCCCAGTATATGATTCTTGATAGCATGCAATGGACTACTTAGGCATATAACATTACTTATGCTATTATATATTACACATAAGGACCTCATTGGGTTGTTTAGTTCGTAATTAGTTCTCGCGATGGACAATTTCAACGGTTCAAAATTACGTGTTCTTTGAGAGGGAACATTAAAAATTATTTCTCCCGTAAGAAAAGGTGAATCAATCAGACCACGTGTTAATTTAATAATAAATAATGCTCTTAAAATGAAACGTCTTTTTTCTAGTGTTGGAAGATTAATTAACAATAAGTGACTTTTATAAGGTGGAAGTAATTCCGATGGCTTCCAATTTAGGCCACGGAAGGCAAAGATTAAAAACCGAACTTGAACTGACTCAATTTTATCACAGTGAAATTTATAAAATGGACTCCAAAAAATGCAACCATATTCTAGGACTGGGCGGACAATACTAACAAATAATCTTTTAGTAACATAAGGGTCATCAAACTCTTTAGACCAGCGTTTAATGAATCCTAATAAATACTTGGCTTTATTAACACAAGAATCGATATGAAGATGAAACCTTAGTTTAGGATCTAAGATGACGCCAAGATCAGAGAAAGAATCAACATTGTCCAGTTTGTATGACCCTATAAAGTAATCGGATTGTATTGGATGTGATCTGAATAAGGAAAATTTCTTACATTTTTTTAAATTAAGAGGCATTCCATTTGCACTGTTAAAGAGTGAGTAAATCGTACTGTAAATAAACTGAATTACGTGTATTTATATGCGAAAACTGCTTGACATCATCTGCATACATTAGTATTTTGGAGTAAAGAATGGAACTCGGAAGATCATTTAGATAAAGAACAAACAATAACGGACCCAAATGACTTCGTTGCGGAAACAACAATATCTTTAGAAAAGGAATCACTGAACAAAACTTGTTGGGTACGATCCTGTAAATAGGATGAAATCCAGCTTAAAAGAATTGACGGGAACCCCATAACATTAAGTTTATGGAGCAATAGCTTATGAACTACAGTATCGAAAGCTTTGCTGAAGTCTGTATAAATAACATCAGAAATGCGGCAAATAACCTGTATTTAAGGAATAGTTAAATATTTTTGTAAGGGGTAAAAATAATTCATTAGCACAAGATTTCAAAATGTAGGTTGGAACTCCGTTAGGACCGGGGGAAAATGAGGAACGTAATGCCTTTAATCCAGAATAAACTTCATCTTCAGTTAAGCAGAAACGAGGAAAATGATTTAATTTATCAATTTGAAAATTATATTGACCACTAAATGCATTTTGAGTATATGAAGATTGAAAAAAGTCAGCAAATAGATTTGCAATTTCTGAATTGTCCGATGATTCTTTACTTCCAAGTTTCATACAGCTAGGAAATTGTTGTGCCCTTCTCTTGGAATTTACGAATTTAAAAAGCATTTAGGATTATTCAATAAGTTTAATCGTATCTGTGTTAAATGCTGAGAATACCATCTAGAATTTTCAAAATTATATCGGATCCTCGCCAATGAATACTTTGCATAATTAAGAGCAGTATTTGAATTATTAAATTTTTTAAATAATCTACTTTTTATATTGCGTAAACGCTTAAGTGTCGGTGTAAACCGGGGAGGACTCTGATCATTCAATTTGTTAACAGTAAGAACATAATTATTTAGAGAAGTATTTAGTAGTTCGTAATATCTTGATACACACGAATCGATGTCACCACTTAGATCCCATATAGTTGAAAACAATGAAGAACGTAGTTGCACAATATTAGTTTTAGCAAAGTTACGTCTGATAATTGAAGTTTTTGCGGGCGTAGTATTAGAAGAATAATTTTTCAATTCTAAATTCACAGTGAGTGTAGGATGATAAATGTCTTCAGGAATTACATATGGAGAGCCTCTAAAGATTGAGATATTTAACGTAGACGAAAATACTAAATCTAATAGTTTCTCTTTAACATTCAATACGTCATTTACCTGGTAAAGGCAGAGTTCAAAAATTTTATCCCAAAAAGCATCGAATACAATTGGATAAGTCGAGGGAACATAATCCAATATATTATCGCCCGGGATCCAAGCGACACCTGGAAGGTTGAAATCTCTCATGCAAATTAAAGAAGAATTGTTATTAAGTAATGAAGACACTTTTGCAATAAAATTAGCGTGATTTAAATATATTTCAACTCCTGAATTGGGTGGACTGTAAGAACAAGTTAAGAATATAGTGTTACCATGAAATGTCAATTTTGCAGAGACAAATTCAATATCCTGATTAACTGAAACTTCAACAAATTCAGAAGGAATCGTGTTATGAACTGCAATAAGAACACCTCCTCCTTTTTTAGATTTTCTATCTTTTCTAAAAACTTGATAATTATCGGAAATACCTCTGTATCGAGTACATAAGGTTTAAGCCATGTCTCGGAAAAAATAATTACTTTATAATCACTATGGAAACTTGTAAGAAACTCATTTCTCAATTTAGTGTTAAGGCCTCTAACATTTTGATATAGAATCGGTAAGACTATATTTAGTTTTTTGAAGCAGGTGGTATATTCACAGTTCTAGGAATGTATGGACGTTCCTTGAAAACAAACTCTTCGGGCCAAAACGAATTGTTTACTATAGAATTTAAAAAATTATTAGGAACTATTATTTTAAATGAAGCAATATCCCAAAGTTGAGATGAATTGAATTTAAAGATTTTTAAATCACTATCGGATAAATCGTTTATTTTAGATTTCACATAGTCACGGATATTATCAGTAGAGGTGTTAGGATGAAGCCTAGATATAAACACGGTTTTACGTGGAGCTACAACAATCAATTGGAGGATGGTCCAGTTCCAATATTAGCAACTTTAGGGGGAATAACAGCATTTGAAGGTTGGCCATTGACAACAATAGCAGGAGGTAAGGATAATTTTTTTGAGGTTGCAGAAGTAGATGCTGAAGTTGATTCAGAATTAAGTTCAGTAGCTAAATTTAAATTAGAAATCGGAGCAGGCAATTGATTACCTTCAGGAATTACACTTTCCATATTGGAGGGGTAATTTGCCACTATAGGCGAGTACAGACTGGACCTAGATTTGATGAACTGGACCTAGATTTGATGAACTGGGACCACTAGCAATATTAACTGATTTTTTCCTTTTATGGGAGCAAGTTCAAACTTATTCACCATTTTTTCGATTTTTTCAAAATTTTGATAAACCGAATTAAAACTTTGAAACTTTAAATTTAAAATTTCTGACCTAGTTTCCTTAAAAAGCCGATGAAAATTTACCTCTAGATCCCTACTTTCTAAGGAAGACCAACGGAGACCTTTAGACTTATCCGTAATAAAATCAAACTGCCTACCATTAAACCCGGCCCATTTAAGATGCATGTAATTATCACAAATATAACACGCAATAAGTCGTTCGTTAACGTTTAGCCATTATGAATGATTAATAAATTTTATAACCGCCTGAAAGTATGCTTTAAAAACGAGAAGTTATTTGATATGTAAAATGAAAGCAAATGAATTAACGTAACCGCCTGAAATTATGCTAAGGAAAGCAAATTTAGTACTGACAATCAAGTGGGGAATATAAAACAAATGTCAAAACTAACAAAAACAACGAAGGAATAAAATAAACAAGAAGGAGAAATAAATACCAAAATACAAATCAAATACAATTTTTGGAAAAACAAATGAACACTTAAAAACACTTTTTTAGAAAAAACTTCACAATTTCGAAATTAAGAATATTAAATTTTGTTGACACTACAGACACGTTTAAATGAATAATTATTAATTTGGTTTAAAAGACACGCACAAAACACTTCTATACGAGCAAAGTTGCCAAACTAATACTTCATATCATTTAATAAGAAGAAGCATTAGTTTTGTTAACAGCCAACTAAGTATGGTTATGCTTCTTCTTATTTTTCTTTTATTACAAAAAAATTGGCGGCAGTAGGCATACATTTTGTTAAAAATGTGATTTTAACGTGGTTAAAGGCAATAGGATAATTATTTTAAATAGTTGGAAAAGAAAGAAATTATAAAAGGTTTCTTAGTGAAATGTGTGACCTTGTGTCTATATATATAAAGTATTGGTCAATAGTAAGTCAATAGTGATTTACTATAGACATTTCCTACAGGGAATCTACATTTTATTATTGCCCATGTAAACGAACTTTAAACTGAGAGAATTTTGTATTTGTGTTTAAATCATTACTTGTGAGGTAAATTTAGTTTTTTTATTCTGTCTTCCATATGGTGAAATTTGAATTTCCTTCTACCTAAAAAATTCCAGGTGATTGTTGTACAACAACACTTCCGGTTACCACGTGATAAATATATTTAAATATAATGTATTGTGTACAATATCGTATATCCTAAAATAATTTTGTTCCGCTATGTATGTCGTATTGGCACTGTATATTTATTTTTTGGTTGCATATCATTATATTTATATATGTTTTATAATTATATTTTTCATGTTAAAATTTAAAGCATGCTCTTCTACATATATATGTATGTGGTTAAATGTTAATATTATAATTACCTCCTTCAATTGTTTTCTGTCATGTCATGCGAAAGCTTTCCAGGTCCATATATGAGGCGAGTTGAAGGAAAATTATAAATAATTCCAGGCCAATTCTCAGACCCACAACCATGGGCATGGAATCATAACGTTTTTATTCGCGTTAATTTGATTAGTTACATTATGAGAACGATCGCATTACATGAATATTAATGAGGATGTGAGTGTTAGAATGATAATATAATTTTTATTATTATTATTTTTTTAATATAAAATAATGAACCTTTGTTCAGTTTGAGCTTTCAGCATAGGCCTTGAATGTAGATATTTGTCTATAAGTTTAATTGTTGTTTTGGTATTTTTTTAACAGCATTAACATTAAAACTACATACTCTTCATTCAAAGGATGATGTTCTTATGTGGTTGGGTGTGTATCCGGGTTCGTAATTGGCATTTGTGCAATAAGTTGAAAGCGATTTGTTTATGTATTCCTTCACGTATCAATTAATTTCAATTTTGTCAAGCGCAAATGATGGATCTTCTTCTTCAATTGTAATACTAGTAAATGTTTCTGAGTATTTTTTCGCGATTATTTCATATTCATAGCCGAACTATATTTTCTATTGGATCCAGTCGATGAAGGCGAGCGAGTGTTCATTGCCGGTTAGCCAGGTAATTGTTGCAATATCTACGTTGTTGGCTTTTTGTGTTAGTATGACTATGTTTAGGAGTTTGTGTGAGTAGTTAGGTTTGTTTTTGTGGGTGGAAAAGGTAACCAGTGTTTGTGTTCATAAAGAAAACGGAAAGATAATATAAAAACATCGGCTATCCTTTGAGTTTTAAGCGTTAAACGTCCGTTTATTACTCTGAGATGGAGTCGTATGGATGAGAATTTAGTTCAACTATTTAAAATGTTGGGTCGTTTAATTCTGCTTGGAAAAAAATATAGCATATAATTTTGGGATAGAAATATAAAAATTATATTTTTTTAATTATTTTCCTCAAACAGATTATATAAATAGTGAATACAATACAATGTCTATTCGATGAAACCATATACATTGGAATACTTATGGATCCAGCTTAATTTAATCCGTAATATATGCTTCATTCCCTTGAAATAAATCAACAGATCATTTTCAGTAAACATTTATGCAAAAATTGATTTCCTTAACGAAGGGTTACTTTTGAGTACAAATACTTTTTTCTCTAATTTTATACCACATTTTGCTTAAAAAGATATGGCAGACTTTTTTCTTGGAAAGAAGTATTGCATAGTATGTAATAATTCTTTAATAAATGCAAGAAATAACGACGTTAATTTCGGCTTTTTATACCCTCCACTATGAGATGGGCATTCAAAACACCTAAATACGATCAATATATTAATATTGGGGCTATGCCATAATACATTTGTCATAGAAAGACCTAAATATCAATGGAAACTTAAAATATCAAACTATAACCAATTAGTTTGGAAAACATGCCCAAATACCCAATGAGAATACAAAATACTAAATTGTACCTAATTTGGTTGGATGTGCCATACCAATATTGAAAATTTTTAGTAGAAAGATTTGCTACCCGTTAAGAACCCCAAATACTAAACTACAAACTATTGAAAATTGTGACTAAATTACCCAAAATAGGACCAAAATATCACATCAATGCCAAAACTCCCAATGTATATGCAATTTTGGTACAATTTCGTTGAAATTTGGAATGTGAATCAATGTTGAGAAGTAAGGTCGATATAAGAGTGGGTTTTGGATAAATAGATATGGGATCCTGAAATTTCGAGTTAGGATCATTGTTGGGGGTATGATTGGGGTTATGTAGGATGTTTTGGAAATTCGTACTATTGTGTACTAAATACTACCAAATTTAGATTTCGGTGAACCGATAGAGGTGGGACGTTGAATTTCGGAAATAGGGTTATTGTTGGGGTGCAGAATTGGGGTATATATTGGTACAATTATATTTGGATGACGTGATCGGGCTGAAATCCTGAAATTGGGAAATATGATTTCTATTGAATTTATAATAATGTGTACTAAATGGTCCTAAATTTGGTAAAATTAAGATTTTGTTAACCTATAGAGCTCGAATCATCAAATTTAGAATTAGTTTTGGTAATAAGTACTTCAAGAGTACAAAAGCTAATAAATAATACCAAAATTAATATAGAGCTAGATTGTTGTTGCAATCAGAAGTAGCGGGCATATGCTAGTTAAGCAATAAATATTTAAATAAAATCTTCAATTTTTTTCATTTTTTTTTTTTTTGTATGTTTGTAACGACTACGACTATTCCAACCGCAATAAGGGTGAATTCCCTACATGACTAGACGCTGATAGTTTACTCCTAATATAAATAGTTCCTAGGAATTTTTATCAATTCATCCAATGAGTGATTTAACCAGAATAGACATTGTATCGATCTCATCAATTTAATATTGTGTATGCAAAACATTCTTTCTAGAACTTACTTCGAAATCTCCAATTGTGAAACGTGTCGCCGCTAATGAATCTTGTGGAGGCATATCCGGACTCACAATCTGTTTGTTAGTATTTTTTTTTTTTTTTTTGGTTTGTTATCGAGACGGTTAGTTTATTTCGATTGGATATAGATTATCGATACCACGGAAGCATTAGTTTTTGGAGGAATTAAAACGAAAATGAAACATTAATGTGAGTACAATTAATACAATGATTTGGTGTAGGGGTGTTTATCGGTTTAGGTGAACAATTGTTAGCACAACATAATAATATATGTATTTATACGCAAGTACATAGCTTCATATAAATATGTACATGGTGATTGTCCAATAAATAAAACACTCATCCCGAGGACAAGTGAATCGATACACATGTGAAACTCTACACAGGGTACATGGAATACTTACATCATCGTCATTATCGATCATTTCCTTAGTGGAGGCGGTTGTCTCATTTCTTCGTATCGAACCTTGATGTATATCCAAATCCACTTTGAGGCATTGGAAGCTACGCATCAGGAACACTATTGGCATTGGCAAAACACCTGCTAAAATCATGGCTAATGCAATGCCCATTACCCATGGTGGATAATCCTTCGGTTCGACCGATCCCTTGGGTTTCGTACAAACATTTTGAAGTTAGTATATGTTTACTTGCACTTTCAGGCATTTGCTTTCACTTACCGTTTCTCCATTCCAGGCACCATAGGTTGGATTTTTAATGATCATGAATACAATGGATGAGGCAAGAATGCCAACCATAATCACAGGACCAATAAAGCGCCAAGTTAGCTGCCAATACCATCCGGGACGATAACCAGTCATTTGGTAAATATCCTCTGTAAATCTAATAGAAGCGGATGAGAAGATGATGATTGTTGAAACCCATATACCTATTATTTGCATGACATACCTCTCATGGCCATAGATATAGACAACAGCAATCATTTCCATAAGCGCGACCACAACGAGACCAATTGTACCGGCAAATGAGTCGAACATCTTGAGCCAATACTCGCCAGCACCTGTACAGAAGATGAAACCGACAATGAAGCAGAATAGACACACCACTCCAGTTACATGTTGTTTCTTAACCCGCTTGATGATGTCGATGTCGAACAACGTGCACAGCATGCCCTCAAGTATACCGATCTGGGAGCCCAGACCCAATGACAACAGCATTGTGAAAAACAGAACTGCCCAGAATGGCGCTCCTGGCAATTCAACAATGGCCTGTGTAAAGACAATGAACGCTAAGCCAGTTCCTTCGGCAGCCTGTAAAGGAAATTTACCCATAAAAGTTAGTGTACCCATTATGAGTCCGTATGCTGGTACTTTTGCTTACATTATCCAATTCCTTGGACAAACTGCAAGTGCTAAGACCCAGTTTGTGATCAGACATATTGACGCCAGCCATAACGCCTTCATACTGTTCCAATGTGATATTTGGAGATGTTATCATTGAATGTTTAAAAAGTATTTCTTTGTTTCTGAAAATATCGAAAAGCTATTAAAATCGACGGTTTTTTTAAGAGAATAGAATTTGTCGCGATGCCCAATACTGGAAATTCGGATTAATGAATCATGTGTACTGGAAAATAAGGTGTACTATATAGTTTAATGTTATGTTTATGCAATATGTAATTAATATGTCAAGGACATTCGATGTTATGGGTAGAATAAATTCGATCTCCAAAATAAATACCAAGTAGTTCTGTGAACCTTTTCTAAATATTCAGCACTGGAAAATGAATAGGGGCCTGAGATGTTAAGTCTTTTACAATATCAAGTTTGAAATATATTCAAAATATTAGTTAATATCAAAACTGAGAAACTTCATTACACCAAATGGTGGAATAAGTGCAACTGATTATTACATATTCCAAAAAAAAAATTGCATTCTATGTCGCTTATTTTATGTGATACTATATTGACTACAAATTGGATTTTGGGTGAACGGATTGAGTTTTAAACTTAACATTTGGAAAAATGATTGGAATTCTTATCACTTTTGCATCTTTATAATGGAAATAGAAGAGATTTACTCTTATGTGTGTGAATAATACTAAATGGCACCAAACTTGATATTAGATATAGGAATAGAGGTGGAATTGGAATTATAGTATGATTTCCCTATAAAATATTATTTATTTGTTTTGTATTCCCTTTCCGCATACGAAGTAGCTAGTAAATATATTATTGTGAAACAGTTATATGGGAGCTATACCTGAGTCATATATTTTTAAAGTGCTTTAAGTCCATTTTTTCTTATATTGAGATATTTAAGGGTTTGTGTTTGATTTGTTTCAAAAATATTGTTAAGTGGTATAAATTTTGTTTGTGGCTTTGTGCCCTTCAACTTTGAAAATAAAGGACTCACCTAAAGACCGACAGTTACTTTGTTACTCAATGAAACTCCAAGATATGAAATTACAAACCATTAAGTTAAAAAAGTGTCTATAATTCGCAATTTGGAGGATATCGTGATAGATCTTGGACTGACTGCAGATAAAATGCAATAATTTTACCATTATGCACGCTAACGTACCTAAGGTGTCGTAAGTATATAAAAACATGTGCCCTTCATATTTTTGTGTCTTTAAATCACAGTTGAAAATGTTTTGACCTATATTGGATATACATGTATTTATATATATATATATATATATATGGTTTTTGATTCATTTGTTATATACCTATAACGTGTAATATGCCCTCACGAATTGTCTGCGGCCAAAAGACTTTTAAAATACCCAAGAATTCAGTCAGTTCCAATAACTGTCATAAACAAGGTCTTAATGACAACGTATCGAAATCAATTAAGAAACAATTGTCGCAGCACGTGTTTCCCTGCACTTGCTTACATAACCAACCGCATATACAAATCAATTGTAGAAAAACAGTTCGTTGTAGCGCCTCGCTGATTGAATAGGGTCATTAGCAATCCCAGCGGAGATTGCAATTGGCAAGTGTAGATAACATGTTAATATTTCACTGCGACATGTTCACGAAAAACGTCAGCGATCTATCCGAAATGCGTACATGGGAAAACGTTTATTAATGTTATGTAAATATAATATGGAACTTTACTGCGCTTTCTATGGAAGTGGTTCTCTATTAAAAATATATATTTTAAGCGGATATGTATCTTATGAGCTATACTTTGATGGTACAAAATCTTCCAAACGCTGAAAATACAAATGTTATACTATTGCAAATTTTGATATATTTTCGTCTTATTTCGAAGAATATCGAGTAATCATATTTAAAAATTACGATGTGAGCAAAATTATATTACAACCATTCAAAATGGGGAAAGACGTCCACTTTCAAATTAACGATAAACATAGTAAGATTAATCCCAGGCGAATTGGCATGACATGTTGATTTGATCTACAAGATTGATTGCTATGAGAAATTAATGGTGAAACGTATGAAGAAAATACACAACCCATGCCCCAACGTAATTTTTTCACTCACTGTCGCCTCGATATTTTTTCACTAAATAAATGAGGAAATAACGTCAATTCGATTGAAAAATGTCAACATTTGCAACATTTTCCATATTGTCGCCCAAAGACAAACAATGTCGACTACAAAATCAATGCAGGCAGGGAAACATTTTACAATTGTCGGTGGCTTTGTAAACATTCGGTACGTGCAGTGTTCTTACGCTGTGTTTGTATGTATGTGTGAGGACAGATATTAATAACAATGATCTTGAATTCGCATTCGTATAGGAACAAGGTCCACCGCATGATTTTATTCACTAATTCAGATACTTACTGTTCGACACACCGATCCACATTTGCTGTCGCCTTGAAGCCGAGAATGGCAAATATTACCACACTGGCATAGATGGCTGTCACGGCGTTACACACGGACACAAGTAAGACGTCACGAACGCAATTGTTTTTGGGTGTGTTGTAGCTACCGAAAGCTATTAACGATCCAAAGGCAAGACCAAAGGAATAAAATACTTGCGTGGCTGCATCCAGCCACACCGTCGGATCGGCCAGTTTCTCCACTTTCGGCGTGTACATGTGCATTAGACCCGCACTGGCTCCAGGTAATGTTATACCGCGTATAAAGAAGATTGTCAACACAATATAGGGAAAGAGCGAGGTAAAATAGACCACTTTACCGGAGCTCTGGATACCCTTCATCACAATAAAGAACACAATTGTCCATGACAGCAGTAGGCACAGAACGATCCACCACTTGAGGCCACCTGGCTCTTCCATGGACGGAGCAGCATCTAAGGTTGTGCGATACCAAAAGTACGCCGTTTCTGATGATAGCGCACACTCTTCCACAATTGCCCCCGTTTCGTTGGTGGGGCAAGACGCCCACGGCAGGGGATACTATTAATTAATTGAAATTGGATTAAAATATATACATAGATAACACTCGAAACTCTGTTGAACTTACCCTAAAACTATTAAATAGATAGAAGAACACCCACGTGATGATCACATTGTAGTACAGCGCAACGAATAGCGTTACAATACACGATGAAATGCCAATACCTCCTAGCCAGGGATGAATTGTATTCCATACTCCTAGAGCTCCCAAACGCATTCGCTGGCCCATGCCCAGTTCAATAAGAAAGAGAGGTATGCCCTCTAATATTAACATTACCATGAATGGTATTAAGAATGCACCTGAAAAAAGAATGATAAAACAAATCAATTAAAGATAATAAGATTACGATAAATAGGTATTCTAGTAAAAATTACTTAGTAACTTATACATTGTACCAGATTTATTACATCCAAATCAAAATTCTTGAAAAATACATAAGTTGGCATTCACGTCCTTTGTTTTTTGCTTGTACAAAACTTTACGGAGTACATTTTCCAGTGAGATACTCAATAATCCAAAATTTTTATTTAATTCAAGGGCAAAATCAAATTATATTATATTTTTTAATTCACAATGATTCAACACAACACAGTTCTTCGAAATTCCGGGTTCACATTAGCTGTAAACCTTATTTATTTTCAGTAAAATAAATATATATTTTTATTTAATACTTAAGAATTTTTTTTTTTGGTTTGGCTCCATGAATAAAATTTCAAATTAAAGGTATCAATATAACCATAACCATTCATGCCTATATTAATGGTCCTAAAGCATTCACGCTTTATTGATGGCCCAAAAACTTCCACACCTAAATTGATGGTCCTAAAACATCCACGCTTATATTTATGATCCTATATTTGACTTTTCGAAATCTTCCTTATTGGCTTGTATCTATACAGATTGTCGGTATTTTGATGACCCTCAGCACATATAACAAAATCGAAGAGCACACTAAAATACGACTAAGCATTTTAATTTTAATTAACTTATTGACCATCCAAAATGGACGATATACAATAATTGACGTATCTTATGCAACTGAAAGTTTTTACGAGATTGTAATAGTTTTATTTAAATTTAATACCTTTGTCACCATTTTATTTGTTCATGTTTAAGGTTCAAAGGTATGGTAATGGTAATTCACGAAATTTGAAAATAATGGTTATTTTTTGATCAGACCACGTATAGACCTTGATAAATGTGAATATATATTATTTAATGAATGTATATCATGTTCACTTTTATTAATTTTTTAACCACGAGAGACTTATGAAATATATACCAAAAATGTTGGAATCTATTCGAAAGCATTTGTTCCACATGCACGTCTAATATTAAATTCGTACAGTCGATCTAATGTAAAACTGCATTTACATTATAATTTTTTTCTGGGTTAACCACCTCTATGAGGATTTATTTGATATATATGTAATGGATTTCATAAAACCGGTACAATGTAAACATACTATAAGTGACATTATGGACATACTTCCTTTTCCAGACAAGCTTGGAGAGATACAGTCAGCCATAGAGTACAGGTATTAATGTTGTACTCAGAGCAATAGAAGAAGCCAAGTAAAGTTTATGATGGTGCAACCACCTCTATTCTAATTGAGCACAAATTGATAACCAAATGCCTAAAAACGACCTCCCACCCACTCTGGAAGCCACAATTACAAGTTGCAACCTCCCTGAATTTGAAAACAAAAAATGTGTTTGTGTTATTATAAAATTTTAACTAGCAAATATATATATATAGATTAGTCTAATGTACTTATGATGTACGTATGCCATGTGTTTTTTTTTAGGATTTTGACGTTTCATTCCTTGATTTGACATAAAAATCAATTGACTTTGTTCAATGCCTTAGAGGCCGCTAACAGCATTTTTTACTGTGTTGCAAATTGGATTATTTATTACATTTGATTATGTACAAATCAATAATCCGCTTGTGGAACTAACGAATCCGAAAGGAAATCACAATATGGAATGGTGAACCTATTAATAATCGAACCACAAAGCAAAACATACCGATGGTAATAAACCACTACGTGGGAAGATACTGTACAACTTTATGACAGAGTATATTACCGTCTATTACAATGAAAAGAATACTTGTGATGTGAGACCAGAATAGTACCTTGGTGTCGTGTCACATTACAGATTTTTAAATCAAACTAATTGTCGAGTCTAAACTAAAATACTGATTAATGTAATAAAGCATACAGAAAAATGTACAATGAAATATCATCTAGTTTCAGCAAGTCAAAAAAATTAAAAACGTAAAAATGTGAATTCTTGCTAGACACGATGTCAATTTAAGTCGACATGTATGAGTGTACGTACGTATGAACGAACAATTAAACATGTTTTTATTTTCATTTGTATCAAAAGTGCTTAGCGTAGCTGGTTTACTTTTTTGCTATCGTCTTCATTCGATGTTAAGCAGAAAAATTTTAAATAGGGAAAATACGCATTTCAGCACAATTTGCTACTTACATATTTTTAATTATGGGGATTGCATCGGAATTACATGATAAACGTAAATATTGTGTTAAATAAAATGACCATTGGATCAAAGTTAATAATAATTCAATGAATATATATTCTATAGTTATAGATAAAATATTTATAATAAGTCGAAATGAAAAAAATATAGATTTTATACCCCATTCTAATGACCATAATTGTCATTACACAAATGTGTAAAATGTCATATCTATAAACTTAATGATAATTGATTTTAAATCCCTGAAGATATAATTCACATTAGATTCCAGTGAATTTACATTAGATTGTTGACTGCGTTATATTTCATTTAAAATTTGAAAGAAGTTTTTTTAGTTATTTTTAATAACTCGATAATTAATAACATTTTGTGCAAATTGTAACTTGTATGTATATTAAAAGTAAAGTAACAGGGAAGGAATGGTGCAAAAGGCAGTCAATGAATTGTTCAACATATAAATCAAAGATATGGATATATAGAAATAATTAGTAGAGGAACGAAGTAATATCCTTGCCTTAATGTTCCAAAGATCACTCAAATGTACAAAAAAACAGTCTGGATGTTTATCTGAATCCTGAGACAACGAGAAGACTATATAGAAAAAAAGTGCAGATCGTGATCCTTTATACGATTGCGGGGGTTGTCAGCATTAGACGGGTTTGGTTTTCTTTTTCGTTGCTTTTTCATAGTAATAGTTTTTTCCGAGTATGGGCAACTAACCCGACGCCTCAGACCATTTTTTATTGTTTTTTTGGGTGATTATATCAGCTGACTATTTCAAGGGGTGTTGAAAGTAGCTACCCTAGACAAAACCGCGGGGAGATCAGTGTCCACAATTGAGATGAAAGAGGGACCAAGTATCTTTCATCCCCTATGCCATGAAACGAAACATGAATTTTCTGGGGATTTATGATTAGCAGGATAATAAAATACCTTGTCTCCCGATTCACTCCAGTAGATGAGCGAATTACTATAATTCGTATAAAAGCGAAGTTCTTCTACATCAGTCTTATTTGCACCCATACTCCGAAGGAAGGCAAAGATGATCAAAGACCAAAGACTTGTTTTACGAGCGCCTAGAAATAGCTTACTAGCGCTGCCATGGCCATGACATAAAAATTCTTCTAGGAGATTTTAATGGAAAAATCTACGAAGAAACATGTGATAACGACATGAGGTTGATTGACTTCGCGGCAGAAAAAACATGGTAGTTAGCAGCACCTGATTCAAGCATCTCGATATACACAAGGCCACCTGGATTTCTCCCGATCAACGAAACAACGAGAAATCAAATCGATCATGTTGTGATAGACGGAAGGCATTCACCCAGTGTTTTAAGCGATCGATCCGATGAGCGAATATCGATTCGAACCATTATCTTGTGGCAGCTAAGGTTCGCATTCGTCTTAATGTAGCAGCAAAGAGCACACTAAAATACGACTAATCATTTTAATTTCAAAACTTATTGGCAATCCAAAATGGACGATATACAATAATTGACGTATCTTATGCAACTGAAAGTTTCTACGAGATTTTAATAGTTTTATTTAAATTTAGTACCTTTGTCACCATTTTCTTTGTTCATGTTTAAGGTTCAAAGGTATGGTAATGGTAATTCACGAAATTTGAAAATAATGGTTATTTTTTGATCAGACCACGTATAGACATTCATAAATGTGAATATATATATATATATATATATATATAATGAATGTATATCATGTTCACTTTTATTTATTTTGGAATCTATTCGAAAGCATTTGTTCCACATGCACGTCTAATATTAAATTCGAACAGTCGATCTAATGTAAAACTGCATTTACATTAAACTTTTTTCTGGGTTAACCACTTCTATGAGGATTTATTTGATATATATGTAATGGAATTGACAATTTAGATGTACTTGATTTAATAAATCCGGTACAATGTAAACGTACTATAAGAGACATTCATTGGAACATGACAACTACACGCGATAATTCTCGGATATTAATTGAATACATGCCTTATGGACATACTTCCTTTTCCAGACAAGCTTGGAGAGATACAATCACCCAGAGAGTATAGGTATTAATGTTGTACTCAGAGCAGAAGAAGAAGCTCAGTAAAGTTTATGATTTCTCCCGATCAACGAAACAAAGAGAAATCAAATCGATCATGTTGTGATAGACGGAAGGCATTCACCCAGTGTTTTAGGCGATCGATCCGATGAGCGAATATCGATTCGGACCATTATCTTGTGGCAGCCAATGTTCGCATTCGTCTTAATGTAGCTGCAAAAAAGCGATCTAACACGAAATCTCAACGGTGAAAAGCTGCAAACGCAACAGGTAGCAGCGGCCTACTCCGCTCAACTTACCCACTTGCTTAACGAAAGCACTTCTTGTACCGATATAAATATAGAAGCACAATGGCAAAGAATTGCCCACTCCCTACAAACTGCAGCAAAAGCAACACAGGCAGGGTCAATGACCTAGCATACCTATGTGGCTTTCCAACATAGACCATATTTTCACATAACGCCAAATCCTGGAAAAACCCACGAAAAATACATCGACTCATTTCACAAATCGTCGACTACATTCGACAATCCAATCCGCTCAGAAATGTTTAAAGCCATGTCTGCGTTTGGCACTCCTGCAAAATTAATACGGCTATGGTAACTTTAACTGGCACAAGGTCAGCAGTTAAAGTCGGTAAGGATCTTTCAGAGCCCTTCAATGCCGAACGAAGAATCAGACAAAGTGACAGTTTGTCGTGTGACAAACCAACTGTGGAACTTGAGAACTACAGCTTTGAGGTAGTCAAAGATTTTATATACCTTAGTACCGCCATAAATAAAACTAAAGACATCAGTTTTGAAGGATAGTGTTGGTCAAGAGATGCTACTATGGTCAAAGTAAGAGTTTAGAAAGAAGACTACCTCCATCCAATCCAAACTCACACTCTACAAGACGCTGATGCTATCCTTGATGTTATATTGATCTGAAACATGGGTACATGCGCAAGCAGATGAGGCAGCAATTGGTGTGTTTATGAGAAAAATTCTTCGAAAAATCTATGGACCGATCTGCGTTGACGGTAAATGTCGCCTTTGAATGAATCATGAGTTGTACCATCGATTCTCAGACTTTGGCATTGCCAGACTATCAAGCTGCAGCGACTACGCTGGCTAGGTCATGTTGTGAGAATGAATGAGGATGTCTCAGCACAAAATGCATATAAAAACGACCCAACTGATGTCTCAAGCAAAAGGGGAAGGCCACGAATTAGATGGAAAGATCAAGTGGAACATTTCGCAACATGTCATTCAAATTGGAAGAGCTGCGTTCAAGATCGACACGCCTGGAAATCTTTTTCAAGCTCGGCTTATGGAACAAATATTCTGTCACAAGTCAGCTAAATAAGTAGAATATTGTTCTGGTATGGATTGGTGCTGTATGCCTCGATGTGGCTCTAGGCATCTCTGGAATTTTAACAAATATTCTTTTACCCAAAACCTTAACACAATGAACATTTATGGAAAATTTCAGGGCACTTCTCGACAATATATCCTCCGAAATTGGGATAATCCGCTAATTACAGACTGAATGGGAGGCAATTACATCATCGTAATCAAACTTTTGGTATCGATACAAAGCGTTTAGAATCATTTATCTTGGCCAGAAGTGAACACACTAAATATTAAACGAAAGACATAAGTGCTTAATTTGAATTGTATATGAATGAAATATCGATGTACATAATACAAGGACATATATTTGATCAATAATTGTATGTAATTATCGTTTTGGTAATATTTCTTTTATCACTGAGAATAAATCCGGAAATTATACCGATTTTATCATTGTCATTTGAATTCTAATGATGCTGATTCTTAAATAGTATGGGATAGGAACAAATATCAGTGGCTGATTGGGAAGCTCTGGATTTGGTTATATTATTATTTTTCGGAGAGACTGTAAAAATACTGCTTTATTATAATTATTGACACAATTTTCTCTCAGCAACTCACCCGCTATTTTTTTAATTGTTGGATTTGTTAAATCTGTTTACCTATTTACCTATTTAGTTAAAAAACAAATCCTAATCCACATTTACATTAAATGCGAAACATGCATATTGTAATTGACTTACCTCCACCATTTTGTTGACACAGGTATGGAAATCGCCATATATTTCCCAATCCAACTGAATAGCCGATAATGCTGAGAAAAAATTGCATTTTTCCCGACCATGCTGCTCTTTCTGGATCTCCAGGTATCTCTACGGAACTAACGGAGTTTCTCTGTGGAGCAGTTAGGACAATTGTAACACCATGTGAACCATCTCCACGTGCCCTCGTATTCAGTGGTGCCATTTCATGGCCATTGCGAGGCGCATCGATAATTTTAGTAGCAGCCATCAACAGTGGAACAAATCAATAAAAATAGGTATTACTGTTGAATTCACTCTCCCGAATTGAAAGTCAACGATTCCAATTTTGATATTAATGCAACTCAGCAATACTGTAATGACAAAATAAACAGTTTAGGTTAGACCTTTTTAACACACTTATCGGTAAACAATTTTGAGTTCGAAATTTTCGATTTATGTTCATACTCATGGTACAATTATAAAAGGTAACAGCAAATCCCAGCTGATATGATTCCAACGTAATACTAGTGTCAATATGAATTTGACAAATTATGTTTTTAAGAATCACCCAACAGGAAAATTGGGAACGGATACAATTTGAAATTGTTCATTATTAAATGTGCTCCCGCATTCAATTTACTCAATCTGCCTGCTGGGAAAGTTTCAGAAAGCAAATCTTTCTTGAAGGAATAACTCGCTATTTTCATATGTGTTACATATATATATATGGCAATGGCTCAATTATAGGAAAGATGTGGAAGCGATAGAAATATAAATTTGATAGATTTTCATTCATGTTTTTCAATTTTTATTTTGAGGATTCGAAAAAATAAATTGATGATAATTTGTTTGTTTGTTTACATTTTTCTGTCAAATGAGTTGACACTAGTAGAACTTACAACAACAAATTTCCATGTGGTTGTTGTATCGTTTTTTGTACAACAACACTTGCTGTTACCTTTTATTATTATACCATGGTTCATACTGTTAAGTGCTCTCTGTTTAAATCTCAAAACATACATCTATAATATTTAATTATATTACATTAGGATTGGAATAACACCTGGAACGTAGCTAAATAATCAAGTGTTTCGCGGTCTTTTGTGTGTTCAGAAGAATAAAAGTATAATAACATTTTGACCATTTGCATATTTATTAATTTTGAAAGAACGCGAGAGAGTAAATCTTCGAATTTTTATTTTTATTATTAGTTAGTTGAAATTTGAGAACAAAATTTATCTTTAATTAAGATAGTATGTATATGGTCTTTGCCTTGAAAACACATACATACATATTACTTTGCCATTTGTTTGTTTGTTTTCGTACTTTTATTTGCCCATGAAAAGTATACGTTAAATATTGTTTGAAATACAAAAATCATCATATCTTATTACTATGGTAAATAAGTCTCGATTTTATTCCTCTAAAATTATCTCCAATCACAACAGGCCATCCACGATTTCCATAGATAAACACAACTACAGACTTGTGATTGCTGTGGTCACTCCCATCGTTACACACTATTATAATTTGTAATTCAAGTTGGACGCTTTTTTATCTCAACTTATAATTTCGACTGGTTCGAAATAAGGTCTGAAGGTTCCTTTATTAATCCAAATTATGATTTTTTTGTAATGATGTCAGCAAACCGTGAGTTATATAAATGAGTGACATATTCAAACAAAGAGTAAAGGGGAATGTAGTCAACGTAAATTTGTTTAACTAAATGACCTTTAAGGGACCCCCCCCCCTTCTCGTTTTTTTATGTTTATGATTTTAAATGGGCTGGTAAATGAATACCAATGCTTGTTAAGATTTGTAACTTTGCACATATATATTTGAAGATTTAAAAAGGAAGAAAAAAATTTACAAAAAAAATTTTGTTGTTGTTTTTAGTGATCAAAGAAAAGTCCTTATTTTTGACGGCGGAAATGATAACTCCTCACTGGAACGTCGGAATCCGAAAATTCCGACGGTGTTAGAAAGAATACATGTCTGGCTCTCGTATGAACTAGGATTATCGACTTCGCACAACAATTAACAAAATGGCGGAACTTTATTTTTTTTTTTTTTTTTTTTTTTTTTGAAAAATCGCCTATTTTTGACCTCAAACTTAGTTAAAAAAATAAGGAAGATCTTCACCGATTGGCTTTATCCCAGTTCATACGATAGCTATACACTCATAGAGAAACGTCCCAAAATTTGAAATCGATTGGGTTATTAGTTTTTGAGTTATCGTGCCCGCCATTCACAAAAGAGAAAAACGCGTTTAAAGTTTGAGAAGCCCTTTAGCCATCACTTGATGCTGACACAATAAATCGGCTATATCTTCAAGAGTTCTTGAGATTTTCACTATAATTAGGCGATATGTGAACCGATCTGAACAAAATTGATGTACTCTCAATTTTAGACCGTGCTAAATTTTGTCACAATTGGAAAGACGCATTCCTGACATATTTACATGAAATGGAGCGAAATTATGTATGGCAATCATATCGAAACAAAAAACACAATACAGTGGGATAGATAATTGCGTTTTAATCAGGCAAACATGATATCGGCTATATTTTAATCTGAACCGATTTTAACTCAACCTTATAGCCTGAAGTCGGTAATCCATGTAATTGTCAAACATTTCCAGATACCGAAATTCATACAAAAAGGTTACTAAATTCTGTGATATCTTGAATTATTATAATACAAAGATAGATTAGTTAACACCGGATACTTCCTTCTTCAGAAAATTACTAAATTAGACCTTCAAAGATTATACTGTTAAATAATGCTGACAGTTCTGGAATTTCAAGAATATAGTTAGAGATGGGCACTGGGTAAATACCTGGTAAATAATATGTATATACCCATTTGTGGGTATTTACTATATTGAATCGCCAATAAAAAATCGTACACCCTATTTTTTCGTGCGAAACATATCGGAAATAAAGTACGCTATTCGACATTTCGACGTTATTAAATACTTATTCTGGCAAATGTATGTACTGGTGCATATTAGGTAGTTTTATCTCAAAGGAAAAAATCGATGGAGGATTTTTGGTGACATCGCCTAAATTTAATCACAATTGGGAAATGTTACCATGTTTGGATATTCAAAAATATACATCTCTGGAACGACTAAATCTATTAGCCTTGTCATGCATGAAATTAAAGACCATTCAATTTGTAACATTTTATGTAGGTACGTAAGTAGTATTTAATTCGAGATAATGACAAGGCCAAATACCCAAAAAACAATTGTAATCCAATCAATCTTTAAACCCAAAAGAGTAAAAAAGGTATTTGGGCCACAAATCACTCAATTTTTTTAAACAAATAGTGCCTATTTTGAAATTTAATAATCCAACGATAAATTGTTGTCCTCTCGTTTAAAATATACATTATTTTTTACTTAAGAATATTCATCAAAGATCTTTATCCGATTTTCAGGACAATTACGTGAAAGGGTTTTAGTAATATTATTTTTTATGTAAATTCCAATCTTATATCTTAATCCTATATTCTAAATTTACCGTTATTCACGTAATTGTTTGGTGCAACTGAAATATCCTTCAATGTGCCACGGCCATGAAAACAATCGTTGGGTATGGGTATGTATTAAAAATAATAAATGGAGGCTCGTCAATGCTGACGTAGTTACTATACATTCACATTACAGTGGGTATATACATACAGATGTGTATACCAGAATATACGTATCTGCACAAACACAACTATGTATGTATCTTGCCTCTTTGAAAGAAGTAAATTTTAGAAATAAAATAAGACGTAAATTCAAAACAGGAGGCCATGTTTAAAAGGATAAATATAGACGTTGCTATATCCTAACAGCAGTTAAGAATACGTTTGGAGCACATGGTATACAATTTGAAAATAAGACACTTATACATTGACAAATTGAGCTTTTTTGGTCGCATATCAATGACGACATGCGATTTTGGCAGCTGAGTTAACAAGGAATGGAATGAAATTGGAACAAGAAACATTCGGAAACAAAACAAGCTCTCTTATGTCGCTACCAGTTTCTCACAAATTCTAATAAAACGCAATAACAATTCTTTCCTAACGAAAGCGGAGGGTAGTTGAAGTTGAAAGAAAATCCAACAATTTAGAGAATATTTTGAAAAATACCTATGAACCTAGTCTTATATCAAGAGGAAAAATTAAATTAAGGACGTTTACAAGACGTTTTACTCGATTAACGTCGTTCTAGTAATAGTGGTACGGAATTTCCCGGACATAAGACCTGTGGAAAATGCAAAAAGCATCATGCATTAAAACAAAACTCAAATCCCTCTTAGAAGCGCAATTTGTGCACATATAGAAATCCCCCAAATTTCCCAAGGAACTTAGAAACAAAAATCAGATAAATAACCCAATCTTCAAATTTGCATGCAGATTTAAAAAAAAAAACTTAATAATATTAAATAAATTTCTTATTTAGATCTATAGACTCTGCACGTAATATGTTCCAAATTTCATTAAAAAAAAAATAAAAACAAAATATTGGAAAAAGGGTGCTGCCATGAACTATTAAAAGTGTCGTACGCACACACTCCAATTAATTGAAATTTAACTCCTGTCATTTGACTTTTATGTTTTTTTTTCTTTGTGGGACTGTGGCATTTTGATTACGATTGCTATATATTATTGCATTTTTGTGCATTAACCGAAAGTATACAAGCTTTTCAATTACGTATACATACATAGGTACACATGTTCTATAAATATGTATTTTTATATATTCTGTGTAAATCTAAAACGTTTTGTTAGTAAACATCACTTCAGCTTTCCAGTCAGTCATTACTGATTTTTTTTTGTCCTTCCATACCCCGCATTGGCACACACACACACACACGTTTCGACAAGTTATTTTTATTTCGTTGGATTTTATTTGCAAACTTTTATTCTATTACACAACCATATTGGTGGGACGGCACCCTCTTACGTAAAGTGTAGAAAACAAATATTGCCAATAACAAATGCGGCTCTGTCAGATTCAGCACATATTGAGGATAAGGGGCCTAGACGTTTTTGGTTTACGCCACAAATGTAAATACCAGATGTTAATGAGATTTGATTCCAATGTTCTAAAAGTTTATGGAAAGTCCCATCGTTAAATCTATTTTTTATTGCGGCAATGCGTCGACTTGGTTAAACAAATTTTGTCAAATGTAAATAAGTGCATCTAGCTCAGTGCCACCTAATTACCGAAAATAGAGTCTTATTCATAGAGGAACAACGACGACATTATTAAATCCTTCCGAA